AACATGTGGAGCGATCAAAGGGTAAACTGTATGTTGTGTGTGTTTTACTTTGGGGCTGTGTCTGTGCTTTCCACTGTAAGCACACTGCTTTGTATGGCTCTGCTATGCAGAGCCATACAAAGCAGTGTGCTGGAGCTGACAGGGGAGAGATCTGTATTGTTTACATACAGTTCTCTTCCCCCATCGATATTATTTGGTGATCACCAGGTGCCGGCAAGTAATCACCAGCTCGGACCCGGTAATTGACAGCCAAGGCAGTATGGGTAAGGCGTGCCCCCCTACCCAGAACTGTAAAATCACATATATATATACGTGATTTTGCGTACCCATGCCACCCTTTAGCACTATTTCTGCTATAGGATGGATGGCAAGCTGTTAATGTTCTCCTGATTTTCAAGTTTCATTTTATCTATAAATAAAGAGATTGTATATTTGGGAGGCAGTGGTTTACAAACCTTCCTGCCTTGAAAATGCTGCTGGTGATGTTATCATCCAGAAGCAGCAGAAAGAGTGTTTCTGGAATGAGAACTCTGGAGGGACTTTCATTACGGTCCTCATCATTTCATTCCATAAAGTATATGTAAATGTCTTTAGGGCACCTCTGGCATGCTTAGATATATCTTCTCGTAATATTTGCAAATTGCAGCTTTGCTCTCAGCATAAATTGCACTGTGGAAATGTTCCCAAACTCTAGATGTTGGTCTCACTTTTTTTACTGAGAGAAGGATAAGAAAAAACAGTTTACTGAGCAGACTATAGGTAAACATTATGTTGTGATGGTGGAAAACATTAACAGGAATCATTTAAAGCTTATAAAGATAAACTAATTTGTCAGACAAATTTACACTCTTACTTGTCAATGAAGGCTTGAGAGGACAGAAACATCTTTTACTGTATCCCAACAATCACCCAACTGTAGGAGGTACAAGATGTAGCCCACAAGCAAACTAAACTGGAGCCTTTTCCCTGCAGTACCCCTTAGTGACAGAAATGCATCTTTCTTTCGTCTGAGAACTGCAGTACAGTGTTACTTGAATTGTATTCCAGGATTTGCTTGTCTTCATCTGAGAGAACTTGCAATAATCAAGACTTTTTACATAAGTCCCATAAATCTTTCATTAAAGTTTTACTAAACCCAGGAATCGGAATTAACTCTATCTGGTCTCCCACCGTAAACAGAACATGGAAATGCAATTTTAGTAAATATAAACTGCTAAATACCTTTTTTTCATCAGCAGTTAGAGCAGTCTTGTGACTTCTATCAGTGTTCAGCAGGGCACTGGTTAAAGCTTGTAGGAGGAGTTTTCTTTCTGTTCTAGGAAGATGTAGAACTCCTGACCTCTGTCTGGACAGTGTCGATTGACCCTGTGCTGATCAAATGCACTCTCCCAAAAAAAAAAAAAAAAACTTTTCTAGCAACACACACCAAACTGAGCATGTGCAGAGCATCTCCACACGATATGTCTTATCAGGAGATAAGAGGGGGGCACTGGAAGAAGGGGAGGATCAAAAAAGACAGGATCAAACATAATTTTTACACAATGCAGAGGATTATCCCCTTAGGTTCCACAGTAAGTATGCTTTACTGCATATACAGACTGATTTTACTGTTGTGGGTTTAGTAACACTTTAACCACCTTCCCTCCTGAGAATTTACACCCCTTCCTGACCAGGCCATTTTTTATGTTACGGTGCTACATTACTTTAACTGACAATTGCGTGGTCATTCAACACTGCACCCAAATTATATTTACAACCTTTTCTTCCACTAAAATAGAGCTTTTTTCAGTGGTATTTGATCGTCTGTGCGTTTTTTTCTTTTGTTTTTCCTTTAAATCAAATATCATCATAAATTTAGGACAAAATGTATTCTGCTACATGTCTTTGCTAAAAAAAATCCTAATACATGTAAATTAATTAGTTTATGTGAAAGTTATAGCGTTTACAAATGGCGGTATGTATACTTTGATTTTTTTTGTTTTACTAAGAATGGCGGCGATCAGCAACTTATTGCTGGCATTCTGACACTGAGGGGAACTGACTTGGTGTCACTAACAAAAATATGTTAGGAACTGAATGGATTTTATAGGCACTTAGACACCATGTTTGTAAAAATTTCCATACTCTTTATTGACAAATCACATAGTTACAACAATTAACAATGATTTCTAAAATATGATACCATTTGAGTACCACAGTTAACAACATCAAATTGCACCTCATATTTGAGATCCTACCACTCCTAGATGATCATATAACCTTGTTGGTACCAAATGATGATCTTGTAATGGATGGAACACGGGTGTATTGTCATAGTATGGAGCTAGTATGACCTCAGCTGAATATTGGCTGTACATGTTTCACGACTCTCAGTCGCTTAATCAGGAGCTATGAAAGGGTGCATCTATGATAGAACAAAACTTGATTGTTGGCTGTATATAATAGTACATATAAACCATCGCAACAAAATATATTTTTCACATATAATACAATATAAATTAGACAAATATTCATTTACAATTATTGCCATGAAAACTATATATATTGGTAATTGATTATCGGAGGGACAATTTGCGTCAGGATGGGTGTCCAGGCAGGGGGGGCACATCAAGGAGACAGGGACGACATCGTATAAAGAACATGACCGTCTGTTGACAACAGGACAAGTTTATAGACTAGTAGTGTAAACCAACATAGTATTATTTGGCTCATTGTCAATTATGCCGCTAATATCAGGGCCATAGTCTATTAAGTGTTCTAAGTGTTTTTCAAAGAGTGGAAAACTGAATAAAAAAACCTCTAAAAGAAAAGGGGGGAGAAGGACAAAACATGTGTATGTATTCACTAGGTCATATAGTTAAGAATTTATATGTATATTAATTAGTTGACCGGCAATCTATACTTGTATAAGAACCATGTCTTTTAATGGAAATAGTTAAAAAAAAAAAAAATTAAATGAGTACAAATACTTTGAAAAATATATAAATTTGATTATCAAAAGTGCAGATTCCACTTTGTGTGGATATTCAAAATATCCAGTCTTCAATGATGTAGTCCAACTCGATCAGTTGGTGCAAATATACGTGATTTTGCACACCCGTGCTACCCTGTAGCAGTACTTCTGCTATAGGGCAGACGGAAAGCGGTTAAGGTGTTCATGTTACATAGTTTGAATACCATGTCATAGATATATTATTTATCATTGTAACAGAGCATATCCACACTTCTTTCTTTTTTTTCAATTTTTGTCTGGAAAAACAACAAAAAACGGCTTTGAAAAAAATGGGGGAAAAAAATGCACAGAGTAGGACATTTGGCTCTAGTAGGAACCAGGAGCTTGCATGCAAGGTTAGCTCCACAGGACCCAGAAAGGGAAACTAGAAAGCAGCACTAGTGCTGAGAAGACCAGCTGGGGGGAGGGAAGAACTTTTGTTCATCAAGACTTAGCATGTATTGTAAGACTTCACCTTAGCAGGTGAGATTTATAGAAAAATGAAGCTTTCAATATCACTTTACCTATGTTGAAACTCTGTCATTATATATGTGCAGTGCAAGCATCATTATCGGAAGAGAACATAAGTTTCAAGACATAAATTCCAGATTTCCAATTCATAGCTTCCTTGCAACACTATTTATAGCTTCTATACCTGACAATCAAGAACCTGAAGACTATGTCAAAATGCAATGCCATTTACATTGATGAAGGTGTGCAGTTTTCAAAAGCAGTGCCTTGAATAAGATATTATTTGGGACAGTGCTTATTTCCCCACTGGGTCTTCACACCTGGAACCAACAGTGACAAATATGCACATTGCTCTGAGAACTTACAAAGGGCTCTGGCAGATGGAGACCTGAGTTTGTCCTGTGCAATTGCTGGCGTATTTTACTCCATCCAGACAGCCCAGGTATAGAGTACAGCCTCCTATTGACATGAATGGCTGTGCACTGCTGTACTCATGTATATAACACTGATATCCAGTGCCGGATTACCATATAGGCAGAATAGGCACAGGCCTATGTGCCCCCCACAACGGATCAAAATAACATTTTATTCTGATCTTGAAGGAAATTATAATGAAGCTTTCTTAAATTGTTTACAAACGATAGAAAAAAATGAATGAATTCAAAGAAATAAAAACTTTACATTAAAGACTCTATAGAGAAAATACAGTATTATGTAATGTACCCAATAACAACATCGTACATAAACCATAGAAATCAGGCTCACATTACAGTTTGTCACGTAAAGTCTTCTTTCAGTTGTCAGCTTGGTGCAAGCTATGTACGTGTAAATGATCAGTAGTGATGGTTATCTCCATCTAGCTGCCAACGTTCATATTACTTAGTTCAATGTTATCCCACTGGAGTGTGTGCGCAACAAACCTCCTGAAACCTGTGATGAGGGGCCCAATTGTTTTGTCTGCCTAAAGGACTCCACAGAGTTTGATCCGGCACTGGTGGTATCGCTACACGCCTAACTTGCTAACATTTACAGCCCTCACTGCTAACTGAAATAGTGTTTAGAGGTGCAGTATATGATGGCAGTCCCAATGTACGTGTCTTTGAGAGTCACAAAGGCTGGAGGAAGGAAAAACTGATCAGATTCCAGGTGTCATTTCTCGAGGGAACCTTAGAAAAGCAATGCTCTGGTTGGTTGCTATGGGCAACAAGAACAGTTTTTCCATCCTCCAGTCTTTGTGAGTTTTGGCCCAATTTGTTTTTGTTTTAATAAGACTTTTACGTAGTCCCTATTGCATATTTTCAGTATGTGTTTTTTTTTTTTTATTCTTTTATATTAGGTTTAACAAGTACACAACAGTACTCATATTACAAAGAAATATAGTAAGTACAAGCAATCTACCACAGCCTGTGAATACCACTCCCCCCACCCCCCAATTATATGTGTTTTCAACCTTTTAACCGCTTTTCAGCCACCCTATAGCAGATATACTGCTACAGGGCAGCACGGGTGCGCAAATTCACGTATATACTGTATACATGATTTTGCATTTCTGGCACTCGTGAGCCCCGAGCATTCCCTACCCACGCTGCTATTCGTGGCCTTGGCTGTCAATCACCGCGTCAAGGCCGGAGATTACTCGCCGGCACCTGATGATCGCCAAGTATTACCGACGGGGGAGAGACCTGTATGTAAACAATACAGTTCTCTCCCCTGTCAGCTCCTGCATACTGCTTTGCATGGCTCTGCATAGCAGAGCCATGCAAAGCAGTGTCCTTACAGCGCACAGTAAAACAGCACACAGTTAACCCTTTGATCACCCCAGATGTTAACCCCTTCCTGCCCAGTTCCATTAGTACAGTGTCAGTACTTTTTATTAGCACTGATCACTGCATTGGCATCACTGAGGATGTCAGTTACACCAAGTTAGTTCCCCCCAGTGTTGGAATGCCAGTCTTGCAGTCCCACTATAAGTTGCTGATTGCCACCATTACTAGTAAAAAAAAATATATATAAAAAAATCCCAGTATATATACCGCCATTTGTAGACGCTATAACTTTCACATAAACCAATTAATTTACACATATTTTTTTTTTAGTAAAGATATGTAGCAGAATACATTTTGGCCTAAATTTATGATGAAATTAGATTTTTAAAGTTTTTTTACTGGACATGTTTAATAGCAAAAAGTCAAAAATATTGTTATTTTTTTCAAAATTGTTGGTATTTTGTTTTTATGGCGCAGAAAATAAAAAACGCATAGGTGATCAACTACCACCAAAAAAAAGCTCTATTCGTGGGAAAAAAAAGAACGTAAATTTAATTTGGGTGCAGTGTTGCATGATTGCGCAATTGTCAGTTAAAGTAATGCAGCGCCGTAATGCAAAACATGGCCTGGTCAGAAAAGAGGGTAAGAGGTTAATGAAAAGACAAAATGGCTCCAAGTAAACAACGTGTCCAGGAAGCAAATAACTGGTATATTTTTGTAAAGCTTCAGATGTCAGCTAGATAAACTATCTTATAATTTGAGGGAGCTGAACCCCCTTCCCCAGGGAAGGATTATCCACGCTGCTGTCTCTGATACCAAACACACTAGAAATAACCAGAGACAAGTGCTTTTTATTTAAAGCCTAATTCCAGGCAGGAGACCTTCACAGGTTTAAAGCAGGCAAACATTCTCATTCCGTAGGAACAAGCATAAGTTTGTGCCCTGCAATTCATTTAGTTTCCAGCTCCCACTACACTTCCTGGCCATTTTGACTGTATGAGCTATAAGTCTTAGAGACCCCATCACTACATTTATGTCTTCGTCTCCCCTTTCCTATAGGCCATTCACAAAACAGAGCCTGGGGATGTTTGTTTTGTGAATGGCCTGGAGGAGAATGGGACACAGATGTGACTGTAGCACTAGGGTCTATGAGATCTGCAGCACCTACAGCTGGAGCAGCCAAGTAGTATAGTGGGAGCTAGATTTCTTCTTGCGACATGTAAATGAACTGATTTTCAGAACATAGAACCTATGCTTGCATGACAGTGAGGTCCTCCCAAGGAAAGAAAATGTTTTCCTGCTTGAGATCTTTGATAGTAATCCTGCTCTGAGTTAGGCTTTAATGATGTATGTGGATAAAATAATGTCAAATAATCCATAGTAACATTTGCAAAGGGGAGTTTTATTCTTGGAATGTATCTGTCTGAGCACAATATCTTTTAATTAACTTTTCTGTTGTACAAACCTATTTATGAGAAAGGTCTGTTTTTAATTAGTTTAATAGTGTGTGGCTATGTGGTTGTATTTAATTGAATAATCTGGTGTAGTTCAGCTAAGGCAATAGCACATGTAAGAGATGTTTAACAACTCAATAACACAAGTGCACTTTAGTTGACAATGCATTAAGCAGGCCATAGAAAGTTCAAATCTATGCCAGTTCAGCAGGGACCTGCTGAGATTCGAACCATGTATGGGAAGGCTGAATGTACCCAAGTTGATCGATCAATCAACTTGAGTACAACCAGCCTGTCAGATTTTACATGAGATTATAGCTAGCAGCCATTACAGCTGCTAGCAGTAATCACTGTGTTGGGAGAACGCAATGGCTCCACAGGAAGGATACCCCCATCAACACCGACTGTGTTGATGGGGGAATCAAACGATTTTCTTTCCTGAAATGACCTATGAAAATGCAATAGAGGAGCTTATTCAGCCATTTTGAAATTCTTGTGGGCAAAGACCAGGTGGGAATTCTGGATTATTAAATACTGGTGCCACTGGTGAGTGAGGGGATTGGAGCAAGGCCAATCTGTGGGAGGAATCCCAAAATTGTAAAGAATGGGATAGGGTAGGACAGGGAATTGCTTTCCGATGTTTTAGGTAAATCCACATCAAAAGATCTATGGGTAAAGGAACACAAGGCAAATCCAATCTAGTTTATAAGATCAGTTGGGTCAGCTGGGGTATCTGGGTGGCATCCAATTTCTATTTTTAACACCATAAGAGGTCATGCCTCTGGAATACAGTGTGCTAGAGAGTACAGGCTCTAGATCCAAATATGTCTTTGATAACCGATAATAGAGATAACTCTGTTTCAAATTTTTCACTGTTTCTGCATCAACAACCAACATGTGCACATACAGGTGTGTTATCTAAAAGACAAATACTTATACGTGCACAAGGTTGAGGTTGGTGCATTCCTATTGGCCGTGTGCAAATCCCCAAGTGCATCAGTTTATGGTTTCCAAATCTTCTAAGCTTTTTTTGGAACAGGCTCTGCTATTGTAAAAAACTTTAAATTTAGGTAGGAGACAATCAACATGTCTCACCAGCTGGGTGTTGACAGTTGCCCCTAAATACATACTTACCAAGTGTCCCAAATTGGCTGGGACAATAGGTGCTTTTTATGCAGAAGCACCATGATGCCTACATCCTGGGATCGCCAAGTGAGGCCCACTGAATCTGTCCCTCCCTCTGCCCAGCAGCCCTTGTAGTTCAATCATATGCAAATCAAACAAGTTTGTGTATAATAGAGCCATGGGATTTGCATATGAATGAGCTGTGGATTTATATGCAATTCCTGCAGCTCCTTGCCCTCTGCTTTGTGAGTCTGTGAAAAATCCTTTTCATCTCTGAGTTTTACAAGGATGTACAGGACAAATTGCTTAAAAAGAAACAGGTACAACTTATGTAGAAGGATTTTTTAATCTCTGTGAGTCCAGTAACTTCATTTGGTATAGATAAGGGTCTACAACCACTTTAGGCTGGGTGACAGAGTCCTGTCTAGTTTTATTACACCTACAAAAATCCAAGAATCCATCATCAGACGCAACAGGTATCTCAAAACTCAGCAGACAGGTCAGTGTCAAATGATGTTTTCTAAATATTTTATGCCAAATATGTTTGCAATATAATTAATGTTTATCATTATAATCTCTGCAAGAATGTTTGGGTTGCCGCACTTTAAATAGACTGTAAATAATAAAACTTGTAGTTTGCTAAACAAATACATAAATAATTTTGCCTCAACACGTTGATACACCAAAATCACAGTGTTGGGCATTAAAGAAAAGCAACCGTTGAAAAAAAAAAAAAAATGCAAACAAATACAGAGATTACATCCTGTCTTGTAGCAAGCTCTTGTAGGTAAGGGTGATATTACTGGACCTACCCTTGGCATCCTGGAAAAACCGAGAATTCCAAATTCCCTGAAATATGTGCAGCAACATATCAGCAACAAGATCACTTAGACCAGTGATTCTCAACCACCTGGCAGTGGGCCATTGCTTCCCTTCTCCTAACCTGCCAGCACTCATATTTCCACCCAACTTCCCATAGTGGCCCTCAGTGCCCCTCAACCTCTCACAGTGCAGAACCCCCCCCAAACACCCACAACAGTGTTATTAAGGGCCCCCAACCCCTGCAGTGCCCATTGCAAAATGCCTAGCCCCTTCCAGAAACTCCATCTCCCACAGTTACTACCAGCTCCCTCCAGAAACTTCATACTGTACAGGGTTGCAAAGTCTGCTCCAGAGTCCCCTAACGCCTTCCAGAACCTTCATCCCCCACCAGTAACACCCAGCTCCCTCCAGAATTTCAATACATATCTTGTATCCCCAAATCTTTATTGTATGATTATAAAAAAAATTGTCTTTTACTCTTGGGACACTGAAGGTTTTGGAAGAAATTTGCCACCCCTGGTTTCAATAAGAGAACCGCTTTGCTTAGAGAAATGATTCAACCGCTCCCTCACCCTCATCTCAAGCCATTGCCAAGCAATAAGAATTTCTTTAGGATGTTGCTTAGAAGGCTCGGGACTTATAATAGTTTTTCTGTGTATAGTTATGCTATTTCCTTCTTTATATGTGCCTAACCGCCAAACTACATCTTGAACCATTAAACTACTGGAGCTGAAAAGTTTTTGTTTGGCGTTTTATTTCAACAATGCGTGGCATTGTCTGCTGCACTGCTTTGTAATATGAGATTGTGTAGCCAATTAAATCTGATTATGCTGTGTTTAGAAAAGGTACAATTTAAATGCAGTTATATTTTTGGACCCTTAAAAATACTTATTATTGCAGGGTACAGTTTTTTAAATATAGTTTCATAAAGTAGTACTCAATGCAAACCGCTACTTTGTTGAAATGCCTATATGTTTACTAATTTACCCACCAAAGAATCTGTAATTTTAGCAACCCATTCTTGTAAAATCCCTTTGTCACACCTTGGATTTGTATTACTGCTTCCTAGCTTCCTGCTGTGTGGTCATAATGAGGTGATGATGCTGATTAACTTTCCATTGATGGACCTTAGCAGCACAGAGGTGACATAGGAAACTTAAAGTGGAACTTTAGTCAGTAAAAAAAAAAGTCCTGTTAGTTCAAAAGCTCGCCCCTTTTGCAGATATAGCTATGCAAAACATTACAAATACTTTAAATGCCTATACTGTTTAAAATCCAGTAAGGCAGGTCTCTCACCCCACTTTGCACATGCTTATTTGCGTTCTATACTGGACAGTGTGCCTAAAATCAGAGCCAGTAGAGGCAGATCAGCTGACAGCTTTAAGATTTGCTGTTGTTGAAGGGGGAAGAAAGCAACAGGAATGAAGTAGACTGTGTGGGGGGAACACAGATTAGGGAGGGAAAAAAAGGACAGCAGGAGAGGTAACAGGACAAACTCTGCTGCCAGGGAGACACAAAATAGTTAAACTTAAGCAGGGCATGGATGGATCTAATCTCATTCGGTTCAGCAGGAACAGACTGAGATTTGGTCCACCTATGGGCAGTCTGGTTGTATTGAAGTTGATCCATCAATAGACCTTAGTACAACCAGCCTGTCAGATTTTTTCTTGCGATCACTGCCCACAGCTATACTGATTGTGTTGATGGGGGAATCCCTGTAGCGTCTTCTCCCTGAGGTGTATAGAACTGCCTTGGACTTGATGACAGTAAG